AGTTGCTAGTGGAAAAATAAGTGGGGGGATATAGAGGTGAAGGTAGTGGCTTATTTTTGGGGGGGGGTGGGGGGTGGTCACATCATGCTTTTTGACAGGCCACTTTGTTTTTTTCTCTTATTCTTTTGGGCCTTTTCCTGAATCTGTGGGCTTACATACTCTCATTTATTTTAGGAAATATTTCACATTACTATTTTCTTTTTTGTTGCTTACCAATATTAAATATTAATTGCGTACTCCCTATTTTAATAATTTTTCATTTACTATTAAAATTTAGGGTAAATGGCAAATAGGCTCATGACAAGGGCACTTAATTAAGAGAGGGACATCCAACTATTTTGTCTTTCAAATAAATCCAGTCCATTCAAACTTATTTGCAAATAAGGAAATTCCTTTTATATATACCAAAATTATCCTCAATTATTTGAAACTCAATTCAACTCTAATTTCATAATTTACATCCCAATTTAGCCAAATTTCATCAATTAACCAATTTAAATCATAATTTCAATTTCGACCCGCCACCACCGGAGACCGCCGGTCGCCGGCGTTGACCTTTTTTCTTTTCTTTTTTTTTGAAAAACTTTTTTTTTTCCTAAAATTTTTTTCCGGCCGGTCAGCAGCCGTTGACCGCATGTTCTCCGGCGTTGACTTTTTTTTTTATTATTATTATTTTTTTTTTTTTATCATTTTGTTTTTTCTTAACAAAATATTTTAATTAATATTACTATCTTGTGTGCTAAATTATTGTCTCCAGCAGTTATTTAACTATCGGAGACAGTAATTTAACTGTTAATTGATTTTTTTTTTTCAAAAATATTTTAATTAATATTACTGTATTCGTTGCTAAATTATTGTCTCCAGCAGTTATTTAACTGTCGGAGACAGTAATTTAACAGTTAATTGACTTTTTTATTCTTAAAAAAAATATTTTTAATTAATATTACTGTATTCGTTGCTAAATTACTGTCTCCAACAGTTATTTAACTGTTAGAGAAAGTAATTTAACTGTTAATTGACTTTTTTATTCTTAAAAAAATATTTTTAATTAATATTACTGTATTCGTTGCTAAATTACTGTCTCCAGAAGTGATTTAACTGTCGGAGACAGTAATTTAACTGTTAATTGACTTTTTTTTTCTTAAAAAAAATTACTTTAATTAATATTTCTGTCTTGGCTGCTAAATTACTGTCTCCAGCAGTTATTTAACTGTCTTAGACTATTAATAATATTACTGTTTGGGAAAATAATATTCATAACATTATTGTCCCAAACAATAATATTACTGTCTGAGACAGTAATTTAGTAGTCAAGACAGTAATATAATTAAAATATTTTTTTTCTAAGGAAAAAAATTAAAAAAAAAAAAAATCAACACCGGAATCTGACTGGAAAAAAACAACATTTCAGAAAAAAATTATTTTCTGAAAAAACAAATGTTGGGGGTTAATGTGATATATTTGTTTAAATTTGGGGTCAATGTGTAATATTAAGGAAGTTAGAGCATAATGGGTGAAATTAATAAGAATTATATTATGGAGGATATTTTAAACTAAAGACATGGGATAAGTTTAATTGAGAACTATTTTTTTTTTTTTTTTTTGTATATATTTGCAAAATGACTAAATGTCAAATAGTGCTACAAAAATTTGCAATCCATAGCTGAGGGTGGTTACAATCAGCCAAATACGAAAGTTTTTTCGTAATTTGATCTACCTTTAAGTAATGATAGTAATTTACCCAATTAAATATAACTTCACGAGACATGAGACACTAGATATTTTTGAATATTTAATTTCATAAACAAGTTGAGATCAACAAATGGGCCCTTCAACAATTTTACAAGTGGTCAGTGATTGTACTACATTCGACTGTAGATAATTAATGCCCATATCTCCTACCTACCCACTTTGTTATATGTACACATTAATTTTTTTTTTATGAAAAACAATTATTATTATTATTTTTAAATGTCACCAGTTTTCATAAATAATGCATTGATTTGATTGAGTCGCTCAAACTTAGGTATAATTCTTATTAGTATGATGGAAAAATTCAAGAAATATAAAATAAAGAACCTAAAATTAATTTTAGAGTGAGAAATAAAAATTGAGTAGGAGGCGATGATTATTAATCAAAAGAAATCATGATGTTGAAAGGGTGGTTATATGTCTTTGTCATCATCATATAAAAAGGTTAAAGTGAATAATATTATTTAGTGGGGAGGGGTCTTCTTGCAAATTATGGTAGGGGCCAAAAGAGCAAAAGTTGCAACCGTGGTTGGGTTCTCGATTTCATTACGAATTACCGTTACCATTTAATATATCTCAAATCATAACAATACCAAACATGTTTCAAAAGTTAATCGTAAATGCCAGAACCATTAGTAATAATACAATATTTAGATATCCACGGGTATCCAGTGGCGTATCCAGTGTAGTCCAAGGGTGTGCTACTGCACACCCTTGATTTTAAAAAAAAATTATTTCCTATATATTTATCATTATATACCTGCAAATGTAAAACCTTGTCAATGCAATGCTGTAGCTTAACTGGTTAAGTGCTCTATAAAATTCGTCCGAGGTACAGGGTTCGAAACCTGAGAGTCTCAACCTCTCTATTATTGTTTCTTTTTTATTCCTAATTTTCCATTACATACAATATTTCAATTGTTTTAAAAAATGTTGAATATGTGGGTATTTTTTAATATTAAAAAAAAAATCTCCTAATATAACATATATTTTGCTATTTGTAACTTTAACTTATTTACCATTTCTTTAATATTAAATATAATATAAATTATTCCAAAATTCAATATTTCAATTGTTTTAAAAAATGTTGAATATGTAGGTATTTTTTAATATTTTAAAAAAATCTCCTAATATAACATATATTTTGCTACTTGTAACTTTAATTTATTTACCATTTCTTTAATATTAAATATAATATAAATTATTCCAAAATTCTAAATATTGATTATATATATATATATATATATATATATATGTATTATTTCAATTTTTTTTCTATATTTACAACTATGTGGGTTTTTTTTTTCTTTTTGAAAATTCAAAATCTGCTAATGAAACGTACATTTTGTCACTTGCAACTATAATATGTTTACCACTCGTTTAATATTTTCACCAATTTTATGTCTAAATATTTCCTAAATTTGCCCAAAAATGGTAAAATAATCCCTTTAAATTTAAAAAATTTAAAGATTTTTTATTATTTAATGTGTATAGTATTCAAAAAAAAAAAAATCGGGGGCGCAGCCCCCGAACCCCCGTAAACTATTAGCCAATCATTATATTTTTTACTATATTTAATTTCGAACACCCTTGGCAAAAATCCTGGATTCGCCACTGCGGGTATCTACTTAATATATGTATATCCAAAACCGCGACGATTTGAATTTATTTTACCAAAACCATTGTGAAACCCTAATAGTTTATGCAACGAGTTTGAAACGAGGTGGATGCCCATGGAGAACTAATTGATCGGGTTTTCTTGCCATTCCTACGTGTGCTTATCAACATAATTTCTATACAATGCTTGTTTAATTACTTGAGCCCGGCCCATTATCTTTATAAACTATTTGTTCGGCTTTCTTTTGGGCCTCGTTGTAAGCCCAAATATTATATATCCATAACAACATTTGATTTCCACACAAAATAATTCTCCAATTAATATTTCTGAATTCATAATTCATATAACATGAACCCTAAAACCAAACAAAGAACACAATATATAGACATCAATCATTAGTTATAATCATTTACATTTCTCTACTTTGCAACTCCAACTGTGACTTAAAGCGCCATCCAAACAAGCTGCATGCAAGAATTATATGCTCGATTTCTCGATCGATCCATATGTAATTGTTTTTAAATTTCACGTATGGCTGCGACGAGGCATCATCAAATTTATGTTGTGGGTGGTGTAACTGCGGACCCCTTCACCAACTGAGTCCAATTTGATTGGTTTCTTACCGTGATTCCTCGTACAAGATTGTCTGTACGCAGAAGAACTTGGGAGACGAAGAACCCTAACGTGGCAAATATTTTCCAGATTTGGATTTGCATGCAGATGCGAAGGAACATCTATTTGGAACTCTCCAGAACTATCCGTACTTCCTCTTCCCGCCCATTTTAACCCCTTCTTCTTCCCCTTCCCTCCACACACCACCCCCATAACCGCCCCTGCACCAATATTATTTTATAAGATATTAATAACCCTAAACTTGGTAACCTAATACACATATTTAAATATGTGAACATATTTATGTATATATATACCTGAAATGGGATAGGGTTGGATGGAAGTTTTGTCATTTGGTGCAGCGCCGGCATGGCAGAGAAGCTTTCCGCCTATTACGACGGTGGAGAGTTTTTCTTCGCCGTAGCCGGCCCACTTCACCAGCTCCTCCCTGCCGGATAATTCACCCAAAAAGTCCATTTTGCCCATGGCTGCAGTCGCTTTGATTTGCATGAACACGACGAAGATGAATACGAACAAAATCATCTTTGCATGATCGGAATTAGAACTACTGCGGTTGATTCTTCGAAGAAAAATATAGCTACTCATGATCTTAACTATTTTTTTTTTGTTGGTAAGCAACTTCTCTTGCTAATAACTTGGTGTCAACGCAAAGAAGAGACAATGAAGTTGAAGCTAACTAATTAACCACCTTTGTGGGAGGGTTTATATAAATATATATACATATATACATATACATACATATACATATATATATATAAGTATTGCATGGTTCACATGCCCTTTTCGTGTGAATTTTGGAGAAAATTACAACTATGGTCTTTCACCAAACTCTTAGTTGACGTTTGCCTGTCCAACTTTTTGAGTTATTTTCGTCTATTTTTATCATGCTTCAATTGCAAACAAGGGAAATTCTAGGTCGTCAAAGATACACTCAGGGGTGTTTTGGTCATTTCCGTTGACTAATATAAGGTAGAGGGTTTTTTTCAACTTTGGAATTTTGATTTATTTTGTGACTTTTATTAAATAATAAGTAAGAAAAAAAATATGGTTGGTAGCCTAATCTTATCTAACAAAATTTAATTTATTTATTGTTTAAAGAAGAGCAAAACTGATGAGCCTAAATTAACAAGACCAGTCCACGTAATTGGGCTTCGGTAAACTAGCATTACAGTTTTGAGTCAATTTTGTCAAGCCTACCCCCAACTATAATTTTTCTGCTTGGAAAACCCGAAAATGCCCTTTGTCATAAAAATTTCATACATTATACTCCATGTAAGACTTGTACGTTATAAGTGGTGGAGTCAAAGTCAGCATTAAATATTTTTTTATTGAAATATAAGTGGTGGAGTCAAAGTCAGCTCTAATTGGTATATAGGGAAGTGGTGAAGTATATATGTTGTATTTGAAATGATTTTTACGAGTCTAAATAATTAACTATTAATTTGTTTATTTATTAAGTATTAATTAATTACTACTATAAATTGTTAATCGATTATTAGCTAATTACTTACTAAATAAATATTAATCAGTAATTATTTATTTATTTATTGATAGATTATTAACCAATAAATGATTAATTAAGAATTCAAAATTCAATCATTAGGATTTATTAATAATTAAATAATCACTAATTAACTAAGACATAACAAAAAAGAAAAGAAAGACAACCATTCATGCTCGTGTTTGTAAAGAAAGTTTTTGAAAATGAAAACCATGTTAGTAAAAATGGAACCGATTTATCAAGTCCCTAGTTATTTATTATTCACATATTTTAGCAATAATATTCACATAAAAATGGTACATATAAGGAAGTAATAGTTATTTGTATACAGAATTACTAATTAGTTTAAAAATTGATTATTAATTAAATTTCTTCAAATTTATATCATATTTGATGATCGTGCATGTGAATTATTCAACAGTTGAAGCAAATATATATCCGGGAAAAAATAATATTTATAACTGATAGAAAAAAGAAGTGATGATGATCCATCGATCCATCCAACAATTAATTATATATGTTATATATGATCAATGGAATTATATATATATATATATATGGGGTGCATGTATTTTCTCTACTGGCAAGCGCACACCCACACGTACACACCAGGTTTGACTTCCTTGAGAACCGTAGCGCATGTCGAGCAGCCACCGCATTTTCCGGCGCATTTCGGCGGCGCCGACCCTTGCAACACCCTCCTCGCCGCCGCATAGTTCCCGGCGGTGATTTCTGATTCCTTCAAGCCATTTTCTGAAGCAGACGATGCATCGATTCTCGTGGTCACGATAAGAAACATGCAAAATAAAGCTGAGACGATGAAGCAAAGGTTATTTGACTTCATACTGTATCTATATGTGTATGTATGTGTATATATATATATATATATATGCTCTTCTCTTTGTTGAAATGTACGATTTGTTTCAGTCACACTGAAGGTTTATATACAGAAAATTAATTAATTAACTAATGTGGTCTGTGATTGTGTTTCCGAAATTATATTATTCCCGCTGCGAAATCAAGGAAATAAAAATCTTTGTTATTTTCAAGATTGGAAGATAAAAGGAAATGAGATAATAGTTATTTTCCTGAATTAAATATATATATATTAATTAGTTTTAATTAATGTCCGCCACTCATTATATTATTATATCATAAACTTTTTTTGGAATCGTGAAGTTTTAATTAGGCGTTTGAGAAACGTCAAGATTCAAAGATGGATGTTCAAACCCAACTAGTACATTAGAGTAGAACTTCTTCGATAAATTAATAATCTCGCTTCAATAATAATTTTTCTTTTTTACTCCAAGTCAATAAATATGTAATAAATCATTAATTCGATATTTTGATATTTCGCTAAATTAATACTTCCTCGGTCCATTTTTATATGTCGTTTTTGGTGGTTACACATAGATTAAAATAGTCAATAAATATGTATATATTATACCAAAAATAGCTTAGTAAATACTAAAATACTCTTGTCGTTAATTATTTTTTCAATTAACTAATTAAAAGTGATAAGGGGCAAAATTGAAAAAAATGCAATTAATATCTTATTGGAACTTTAAAATGACAAATAATTTGGGACAAAAAAACACTTCAAAAAAGACATATAATAAGGGACAGATAAAGTAGTATTTTGTTGTATATGTTACACGTCTTGTGGTATTTATAAATAATGGGTAAATTATCGTGACCTACCGAGGTAAAATTGGTTACATGTATAACGATAAATTTGGTAATATTAAATGGATGTTCCTTCGAATTTGAAATATTCCGTTAGAGTTAATTCCGTAAGGAAAAAATGCAAGACAGATAATACTTCAAAGGAGTGACTGTAATTACGGAAATAAGATGATTATTTTCATAATTTCATGTTACATCAGGGGTATTTTCATAATTTCACGGTAATTATTTTCATAATTACTTTACCACTCCTTAACCATTATTCTTCTAGTGGAATATTTAAAAACAGACATTAACAAAATATATATATAAATATATTTATTCAAAGGGGATCCACGAATCCAATAAAACCATAAAAAACTTCCCCATATATAAATAACAGCTTCAATGGTGACCGCCGGGTGAGTTAACCCTGCACGTGCAGAACCACGCGTACTGGTCGGGCCCCACTTGCTGGAGTTCCGGAAAGCACGGCGTACAGCCAGCGCATTTTTCAGCGCCGCACTTCGGAGGCGCCGACCCTTGTAGTTCCCTCCTCGCCGGCGCTGCCACCTTCTCCGCTCCTATTTCTGATTTCTTCAGACCACTTTCTCGAGCTGCCTCAATTTCATTGGTCCACGTAACAACTATGCAGAGCAACGCGATGCAGCAGATCATACAACTTTTGGACTTCATTTTTAATTATTAATTAGTTATTATATTTTCCGATATATTTTGATTCTATTTTGACGGGTTGGCATCTATATATATATATATATAGAGGGGAAATAAAGTTAATTAATTACTAATTAGCGCTATCAGGTCCATGATTCTGCTATTATTATAATTAATAATTATATATATTTTAGTGTGTGATTTTATGAAATATTGTGTAACGCATCATCAATCAAGGTATTAAAATTATTGGAGATTTTCAATATTGGAAGATTAATTAGTACTAAAAGATAAATGAAATAATTATATTTGGTTCATGTTTTAATTTGGTTTCTAATGTGGGCTTAGTCAAAATAATATTATACAATCTGATTGATAATT